CTAGGAGGTATGTCACGGGGCGGTTGGTACTGGCTGGGGAGTGGGCTCCATGAAGGAAGCAGAGTGGAGCTGGGAAGAACTAAGGTTTTGAGGTCTGGCAGACTGAGCTTTGTGGTGTCATGTTCATCATTTAGAATGTGTTCTGAAAACCCTGTTTTCCATTTTCTCATGTCCTAAATGGAGATGTCGTATGATGTTATTTCAAGTGTTGATTGTGGTTGTATAAATTGTTTGAGGGGTGTTGCACTCTTGGCATGGAGCCTGAGACAATAGTGAGGGGTTGAACCTTCCTTGCACCACTGAGGTAGCCATTTCTTGCCTGTATTCTCTCTTTCTCTCTCTCTCTCTCTCTCTCCCTCTCTCTCTCTCCCCTTCTCTCCCCCTGTCTCCCTCTCCCTCCCTCTTCCTCCCTCTCCCTCCCTCCCTGTCTCTCTCCCTCTCTTTCCCTCTCTCTCTCTCTCTCTCTCTCTCTCTCTCTCTCTCTCTCTCTCCACACACACACACACACACACACACACACACACACACATATATAATCTGTCATATTATAGTTCCCATGTACTGGGCTTGGCCTTTCCTGTGAATCTTTAGGCAGAACAAACATTTCTCATTTCTCATTTCTACCTTCTCAAAGGTAGGAATTAGCTTAGTAGCAGCCAACATTCTCTAAAAAACGAAAGCATGTTAGTATTGCCTCTGAGAACCAGAGACAAAAGCTCCCAGGAGAGGGGTCTGTATGACACTTGGCCCAACAGGAGTCTCATACTGTTGAGTGTCATTCTGTCTGCATTGCAACTCGGGCAGGAAAATATCCACGCACCCACCCTTTCCCAAGCTCCCCTTAGCTTTTAGGCCTCCTGGTACTTGTGGGACAAAAGTCTGAGCAAGAAAGCGCTGTTGTTACTTAGTTACTGTGTTGCTGCTTACCCTTTTGGGAAAGGCAGTGCTGTGGGGGAAAGAACCCAGGCCTGGGCTTGATTCTGGACCCTGTGACCTTAAGCAAACCGGATCATTCCATCTTTCATTCAGAGCCCTCCCCGGACTTCCTTTTTGTTCACAATAAAATACTTTGGCCTACAAATCCTAACCATCCTCTTTTTAGTCTTGTTTTTATTCATCTCTTCCTCATTCATTATCTTTTAACCACATTTGCCTGCTTACTGTTCCTAGAACACAATGGTGCTTACCTCAGGGCTCTTGCATGTGCTTTCCCCTGGAATACTCTTCCCTGGGGTTCCACATGACTTGCTCCCCTGCTTTACTCTATCACTGTACAGAAACTACCATTCTACTGAGGCCTTTGCTTATATCTTATTTAATCAGCATACTTCTTCCACCATTTTCTTCCTTATGAAGCTTCCTTAGTACTTCTCACACCTGGACACAAAATAGTCCCTTCTTTATTTTCTGACCACCCTTTTCCCCAGTAGAATGTAAGCTACATACAGTATTGATACTTTTTTTCTTTTTTCTTTATGGCACCCCTGGGTCTCTAACATCTAGTTCCTGGCACTTAATGAATCTTCAGTAGTTAGTTGAATGAGTGCGTGAAAGACTCACCTAAGGACATCCACTGGGGGTGTTGTCCGTTCGCACAGCTCTACTGTCTCCCCACCAGCCTCAGGGAACACCTGGAAGATGGACTGTGTTACTGTCAGGAAGACTGTGTCTTGCTGCAGTAACTGTGGGAACCTACTGTCTTGTTGGGGCTCATGGGCGCCTTACTCAGGGTGAGCCCGTCTCCTCTGGAACCTCAAAGTATCTCAAGTTCCCCAGCCCACACTGTGGCTTGCTCTTGTAGGCCTGGGAGCACCTCCCTGTGTTCATTAGAGTGTCCTAGGAAAAATATCTCTGAGTTTAAAATCTCTCTTTATCTGCTTTCACCACCAACACCTCACGCTGTGTGCATCTGGGTTCATGCTAAGCTTGTTTAAATTAAAAGCAAAACAGTAACCTTATCATGCTGTTTGCCAGGCTATTCTCGGTGGTATTTGAAAAATTGCTTAAAATAACTTAGGCAGAAACCCCATGTGTTCTCTGGTGCCTGCTGGTGAGACCAGCATAGTGTGTGCTCATTTCACTTGACTTATCACAGGTGCCCCAAACATATTCAGCAGGCTGCAGTGAGGTGAAAAACCGTGTGATGTTCTCCAAGTTCGGATGACCTGCTAATGGTGCTCAGTAACACACACCTCTTCTGGAACATGAAAAGTAGTTCTTGTTTAAAGTAAATGCCTTTGTCCTTCCATCAAACACAGGTTCAGTGTCTTAACTATTCGAATTTAGCAAGAGGAGGCTTATTGTTTTTGCCTGATCATTCTTTTTTTTCTTTCTCTATTTGGAGTCTGACTTCTATAATTATGCCATCATGGAAATTACAGGAGAAAATTGCTGACTACTGAGTAGATAGGCAAGTAAATGGCGTGTAGATTTTCCTGTGAATAATGTGGATGTTAACTAGGTGGATTGGGTTAACAGGGGATCCTGTGCTAGGCAAATAATGCAGAAATGTCCATGTTTGATATGAGATTATATGGCCAGTGTGAATCCTGTTTGGAGGCTTCGTGAGATTATTCTTTTGAAATGCTTTGTAAATCCCAAGTGGTACGTCAAAGCATATAATTATTTTGAGTTTTCTGAGAATCCACTGAAAATGGGTGTGAGTAAATTTTGGTTACTACATTGTATTGATCACCTTTCTATTACTGACATAAAAATACCTGACTTCCATAACTTAAAGAAGGGAGGATTTATTTTGCCTCACAGTTTCAGAGGTTCAATCCATGGTTGGCTGGCTCCAAGGCAGAAACATCATGAGTAAAGATCTGTGAACCTCATGGTGGCTGAAGCACAGATCGCGGGAAGAGCCGATGAGGGGAAGGTGGCAGGGACCAGGTACGTTCCCCAAGGTCATGGTCTCATGACCCACCCAGACATACCAAGAAATGAGCTTTCCTGATCTTCTAGGTGTCTCTCATGCCTGACAGTCAGGATTGACATACATAAATACATATAACACAGCTATAACTTAATTTTTGCTTTCGACCTATCTTTGTGTTTGGCCTTTTAAAAACCGCAATTTAATTTTCTTGCCCAAAGTGGAAATATCCAACCATGTAGATGAAAATTACTGTCTTGTGGAATATCAGCAGCTGTGTTTTTTATTTGGTCCTTCACCAGGGCAAAATGTGAAGTTCTGAACACTGTAAAATTAATTCAAAATATGGAGTGAAATTGTTAATGATTAACTTTTGGGTCTAATATTGCATTGCTAACCAATGTTTTAATGCATTGTGTTCTTGAATTCAGAGCCAGCTGTTAGGAACATAAACAGAGAGGTATATTTTTCACCTGGGATTTTTTCAATTTTGAAACTGATATGCCACGCTCAGGAAAGATACAACCTAAAAAAGTTTTAGTTTGATCAGCCACAAATTGTTTGTGTTTATTGTTTAGATTTGACATTCACAATTCAATCACAACTGATTCTCTTCAAATTAATCAGTTTGCTGAGTGATTGATGTGTGAAGAATATAGAACGGTATTATAACCTGTTATTTTTAGCTCTCAAATAACTTGTTATTCAGACTTTTTGCGTTGCCTTCTCTGAATACTCAGATGTTCACTTACTCCCAAAGCTACTTGAAAATAGACGCAGCTGATGTTGTGCTCGTGTGGACTCAGCCTGTGGGATGAGTGACGGACGGAAGCTTTCCTATCAGCTCCCTGCTGATTCTTAGCATCTATGATTTTGCTGTTTTGTTTTCTCTGCAGTTCTTTAAGGGAAATTAAAAAGTAAAATGCTGTTTTAATGGGATTTTCAGAGGATATGAATGTAAGTTAATGTGTTCCATCTAGTATTTTTCAGTAGAGGTCCTTTACATCTTTTCTTAAATAACTACTTCTGGTTGCAGATTGTTGCCGATCACTCCCTTCAGTGGCTGGGACGTTACTCACCTCTGGGTGGAAACGGTTTAGCAAAGCATGGATCACATTCCACATCACCCCTGGCCCTAACCAGTGGTGGTCTGATGGAGACGTAGTCACCAGGGTGCTGGAGGCTGAGTCACAGGTCCCCTCAGGCCTGGTGTTTCAACTTGCTCAGCCTTCCTCACTTTCCTTTCGTCCTGGAGGCCACTCCTTGTCCCTGGAGCCCACCTTACATCCTTGTTTGCCTCATTATCTCCTTATTGTGGTTGACAGAGGCATCCAGCAGTTTCATCACTCAAAACACGCAGGAAATGTAAGCTGCATAGTTGATACTTGTTTTGAAACTGGAGGCTAATTTATATTCTTAAGACATACCACTGGACCTTTTTCTTACTCCCTGGTAAGAATTCTGTCCTGCTCTGGTTCTCCTGCTTTTCTTGAACTGTCTGGTTTGTCCCTGTTTTTTCTTCATTTGCTCTTCTGGATGGAGCAGGTGCACACAAACATACACCTTGTGGTGGAAAGGGCTGCCTGCTGTGCCCTTTTGCCCCTGACCAGAGGGATCAGTTTTCCTCTAGCACAACCTGTGTTGACCTTGTGTGTTGGTTTTGGAGTTTTTCCAGAGGCTCCTTGCTGTCCTCCTAAGGAGAGTTGACCGAGGCCAGTTCTCGATTCCTCATGTGACCTGACCTCATCGCTGCTCCACACCAGGCTGCTGCAGGCAGTACCTTGTGGCATCACTTTTTTGTTGTTGTTGGAGAAAAAGAGAATTGGCCAATATAAAAGATGCACTGCAGAAAACATTACTTATTTTCCCGAGATGGAGGAAAGTGCTGAGATTAACCCTGATTCTACCTGACAGTTCTTACTGTTTTAAAATGCAGTTTTTCATTCACTTTATTGTACTTACTGTATGAGAATGTTACCATGTTGAACTAATTAATTTTTGTTTGTTTATTTTTCATATAAAGAACTTTCTTTCTGGAGGAACCATTTATGAACAAAGAAGTTTTTGTTTTGTTTTGTTTTAACTGGTAGGGTACTTACGGAGCATCTCTCTTTTCCTTAAGCTCTGCCAAATCTTTGGAATGTTGATGGAGAAGTCACTGTTCCTGAACAGAAGCCAGGAGAAGTTGCTGAAGAGCTAGCAAGCTCCTATGAAAGGAAGCTCATCGAGGTAAGCACTGCTTGGGAGCATGTGTTTTTGTTCCTGCTGTTAGCTGCTCTGGAGGCTTTCTGGAAAAGGTCCAGCCTGGAGAAACAGGCTTATAGCAAAGACACCAACCAGTGCTCTACCCTACCATCTCTGGGACAACAACCACCACCAAACCCAAAGCAGAAAACCAGTGCATTGGATAAAAAAGTAAAAGTTAATTATTTTTATAATATCACTAAATGAGAAACATTTGCAATTTATGTTTCAAAACTGGAAGCGAATTTATATTATACACATGTCTGTAGCTTGGTTTAAGTGTCTATTTCCTGACAAAGGTAGCAAAAAAAAAAAAATTTCTAGAAGAATACTGCCCATCGATTTCAGTCATATATTAAAGCAAGACTGTACATGAAAAGTAGAGTTTGTTTAGTATTTAAAAGATGATTTAATGTGAGGAAATTTGTAAGTCATCTCATTAATAGGTTGAAAGAGAAGAAAGATATTATATTGATAGAAAGTCATTTGATAATGTTCATCATTGATATGTGATAAAAAATCCTGATATATAAACTCAGAGTACTTTGACATGATGAAAGATTTATTAGAAACCATTAATTATCACTATACTCAGTGATAAACGTGGAGCCTTGGCTGTTTACTCATCGTGTGTATGTTGGGGTGGTTTCTTGGTGGCAGTGTTATTGTAGTGTCAGTATACACACACGCATATAGAAATCTTCAGGTATTCTTCTGGTACTTTCCAAATTTTATTTTTCTAACTAGGAAAACACCAATAATTGTTATGGAGACATGCATGCCTGAATTAGACTTTGGCTGCAGAAGCAAGGCATTGGAAAAGGAACCCTGGAGCCCGTTTCTGGTTCAGGCCACCATTCTTAGAGTGTGTATTATTTTTGTGTTAGGGAGCTTTCTATTTCTATGAAAAAATACCTGAGAAAATCAGCCTAAAGCAAAAAAAGGTTTATTTTAGCTCATCGTTTCAGAGGTTTCAGTCCATGGTTGGCTGGCTCCATTGTTTGTGGGCCCGTGGGGAGACAGGGAATGGAGCAGTTAGGAAACAGAGATTCGAAGGGGTCAGCTACAAGATACAGTCTCCTAGGCTACAGCCTCAACGACCAACTTCCATGGACTAGGCCCCGCCTGTTACAGGTTCTGCCACCTCTAATAGTCCCTACAGCTGTGCATCCATCAATGGATTAATCCACTATCGTGATCCAGTCACTTAGGAACGCTACTGCCTTTTAGACCACACCTTCAACATATGAGTCTTTGGGAAACATCTCATATCCAAACTATAACAGTCTGGTTCCTGAATTAACTCTAAGGAAGGGAAATAACATGAGAAGAAATTTGATCTGACTCAGGTGAATTCAGGGGAAGGTAAGCTTTGGCCTTTGCTAGAACAGGATGGAAAGGAAGAGCTGGCATTGACTTAGGAAGTCTTAAAGGCTGGGGAAATTGTCGTGTCGTGTGTGGCCTCTGCCTTCCACTGTGTCAGTGTTATCTAGTGCCAGAATACCAGGTCACCAGTTCATGCCCAGAAAGCCCAGTTGGAGTGGGAAGCTAGACCCTTAGCATTGTGATAGCTTATATGTTTTCACCCCACTTGGATACCCAAGCCCTGGAAGACAGAGATCAAGTCCTTTCCATGTCTGTATTTTCAGGAGCTATTTCTTGGCAGGTGATAAAAGCAATCCTTTGATGAACATATTTTTTAAGTTCTCCTAGGATAGGAGAGTCTCAGTTTATTGAATGCACAAAGGGCCGATGAATCAGGGAAGGTGAAAGGGTTATCACACTGAAAGTGGGTGGGAAGGCTGTATTCGTCGGGAGACCAGGAGAAGAGGTACAGTTGGAAGGCCTTGGCCTTGGGTGCCCATTAGAGAAAGCACCCCTTCTCCAGAGCCCACTGGCCTCTAGCACTAGGTTTGGAGCAGGGATCCCACCATAGATACAAGGTGCACAGGTGCAAGGCTGATGCCTGCTTTGAGAAGACAGCCTCTGTCTGTCAGACCTGCTAAACAGGCACCATTAGCTCATTGGGTGGCTGGTTCTTGGTTCAGTGTTCGGTGGACATGGGGAAGATAAAGGTCAAAGCCCTGTGCAGGGAAATAGTGGGCAGATTAGAGGAACAGAATGAGTGAGGGGAGAGAAGTGGTGCTGTGGACAGAGAAGTAGGTGGGTCAGAGAATAGTGCCTTGGAGGTCGTTTGTGGTCACGCCACCACCTGAGTTACCAGGTGAAAGTCTAGTCGTCTCTTGGTTGACTTGAGCTGGATGTGGGGAATATGGATATGGATAAGTCACACAGGAAGTTCATTGTCAGATCCTCTTGCCTTGCTGTTCTCTTAACCGCTAGAGTTAAAAGTTAAGCTGCCAAATGAGGAAGCTAGTGGCTCACGAGTAATGATTTCCCTTGCCAGCCTTAAGCTTCCTTCTCTTTCTTCTGTAATTCTCTTAGTTGGGAGCAGCAGAGTTTCCAGCTCTAGTCAGCAGGCTGAAAGCAATATGAGAGTAAAGCTGAGATGTCCTCAAGTGGTGTGTACTACCCTAGGTTGATTTTCATTCTTTGGATGTAAAGTGAGGTTGTTTCAGTGTTCTTTCATCTATGAATAGATTAGCATTTCATTACACCAAGACATTTGCTGAACCCTTTGTTTTTGTATGAATCAAGTCCCTGCAATGTTCTTTGTGATGCTCCTCTGTCATTTTGTTAATGGGTTGATTTTTACCCATAGCAATAAACACTTGTGGGAATAGAGTAATGAAGGAGTGTGGAGAGAAAGCTGAGGCATTCTCTTTCCATTTGAAAAGGGCAAAGGAAGAAGAGACATTTTACTTTGAATGATAGGGCTATTTGGAATATCCCACCCACTGTGACTCATCTGAATGTAAAGGGAATTTCTGAACATGCTGTGTCTTTGGAAGAATAAAAACCACTCCCCTGTCTGCACATGTGCACAACACATTTGTCCTTGATGGCCTACAGTCCACTGTCTGGACATCTCAGAACCTGAACTCAGCAGCATACAGTTATTTGTTAATAGTGGGTGAGCTTTAAGTGCCAAAAAGTAGAGGTAGAAAGATTGTTTTGGGAGTGGAAATATGGCTCTGTGGTGGAGTATGAAGCCCTGTGTTCTATCCCCATCCCCACCCCCCACAAAAAAGAAAAGAAATTCTGTTGGGTGAAATTTAATCTGGGTGGGGAAGAGCACTACTACCATAGTGGTCACTTTAATCCTATCATGTCAAGGGTGTACAGTTAGTTCTAGGCACCGTGCTGAGGCTTTATATCACCATGAGACCCTTAGAAGAATTCCTTGAGGAAGACACCATTATTCTCTCTTGCTTTGAGAAGCAGCTTTGAGAGATTTAGTAACTTTCTTATGATTTCTCAGCTGGTAAGAAGCAGAGTGAGATTTGAGTCATTGGGCATTTAAGCGCCAGATCGCAAGCCTGTAACCTTTGTCTTGTGCTCTGGAAGGCTGAGATGGTTGAAGGGAAACAAAAGAAAATAAAATCAACAACAACAAAACCCAAAAGTTAACCTAATAGAAGAGACTATCACTAGTAATGTTTGAGACAGTGAATGAGAGGGCTCAGGAGGAGAACCAGTGGCACATGGCAGAGCCTGTGGCAATATCAGCACTTGAGGTGGTGCCCTGAGGAGACAGCACACTCCCCTTGCTCCCGGAGAAGGAGGGAAGAGCCTGTCTCCTTTGTGCCTGGAGTGGAGGGACTTGGCAGGACCGGGTGGCAGGGAGCTCCTTGGGCGTGGGGCTCCCATGGCCTTTTGAGCTGTGTCTTCATTGCCTGCCATGGTGACAGGATAGTGAGAGCTCTACAGACACTGTACTGTGGAATGGACTCAGTTGTTTAGTGAAATAGTAATAGCATGCTAAGTGTGAGTTCTGGAACCCCACATCAGGAGCATGTGGAACAGGCCAGCACAGGAACATCCTAAAAATAACTCAGATCTTCTTGGTGGAAAGAATTAATAAGAGGAAACATGGGCTTGGTAGAGTGGTCGGGCTTCCTTCTGGCACCGAGCTTTCAGGGGAAGCAGAAGTCATTGAGCTAATTCGCTGGCATCTTCTTAGCGTGTTGGTGTCTAGCCTTTGGCTTCTCTTTTGCCCTGCCCTGTGAACAGTAGAGTTGATTATTGTAGGGATGAGCTAGAAAGATGTGAGGCTGGGGCAGATATGTTCCTTCTGCGGCCTTTGCTTGCCCAGATTGAGTTTTCCTTCTTTCTTGATTGCAGAACGACTTTTGTGGCATGGTCGTTGCCGTTTTCTGTGGATAACAGTTGTTCTTCATTACCCCAGGGTGCTGAGGTGAATGAAGCAGTGTCCGTGATTAGCGAGCTGGCCAGTCCTGGGTGAGGCAAGCATGGCCGTGTGTTGTCAGGAGGTGGATGGAAGTGCCAAGGTGAAGTGTGCCACAGGGCCGGAGCCGAGTCTTTAGGAAGCTCTGCCAAGGCCAGCACCTGGCCACAGCTGTAGATAGTTCTTCTCTTTCTTTGGGACCATGGTGATGTCATTCAGAATTTCTTTTGTAAATTCCATCCTTCTTGAAAACCCAAGACATCAGAAGAGGTAGATTTTTTCTCATCATTGGACTTTGAAGATAAGATACCAGCCACATCCAAGACAGATATAAGACTCTGACTTCTTTTACATAAATTTCTTTAGTTTAGACTCATCTCCAGAGGTTTTTCTCATTCTATTATAGCAGTTGCCTTCAAGAAAAATGTAAAATGATGGTAGCATTTGGACTCTGATCCTGCGTCTCTTTACCACGCCTTCTGCAGGTTGGTGCCTTAGAGGACACACGCTGCTGCCCTTCAGACTGACTTCAGGCTTGCCACTTTCTACCATGTGCCCTGGACGGGCCACCCAGGCTCTCTAAGCTCAGTTCCTCCATTGGTGGAATGTATCTGGTAAAACCGACCAGAGGGTTGCTTTAGGGACCCAGCACAGGGTATCCAGGTCAGAGCCTGGG